GATTCTGAAATAAGTTGACCAATGGAAGTAATTTCTTAATGGAGTTGCACACTATGGTGCAAGCAGAATATCAGTAGAATGATGCAAATGGCTATGCAACTGTCAAGTTTGTCAATGCAACCTCTAATAAGAGTGAAGGACCATACAAGATCCTTTCATATAGTATTTATTTTGCTTGAAGTTGGTAGAAGATTGTACATCATATAACTTAATAATTGAGCTGTAATTAGCATGTCCTTTCCTTTGTTTCGAATAACGGTGGTCTTCAGGACGACTTGCCACCTCGATTATTCCACTAGATACCTGCTACCAACACATGTACTGGTTAATTTTGCCCACCAAAGCTTTAGCAAATGTGAATACAACCTATCAAATTTGAACTCTGGTCTCCTACGGTTTTTCATCCACTTCATTGACTGTTAGGCTACACCCTTGAGCTCCTCTTTCTTTTACTTTTTCACGAGCTAAGTATATATAAATATTGACTTAAGCCAAAAAGATTTCATAGCCATGACAATAAAATTTTGTTTATTCTTTTCCCGCATGTATGTCTTATGTTACATCTATAAATTTTATCTTTGAGGTTGTTGGGATGGCTAATTATGTAAAAGTGACTATGTACTGGTAAAGTGGCTAGTTAGTTAATTTCTTAGGAGGCTATTTTTGTTATTCATTTTAGTTAGGAAATTTTGTATATATTGATGTTACAGATGTAAGTAAAGTCGGTTGGCCCATTTCAGATTTTTCCTTCTTCTGTCTCTTCGTCATGCAAACTCTGTCTCCCTCCGATCCCCATTATTGCTCACCTTGAGCTTGAGTAAGGTGAGGACGTATGTTTTACATGGTATCAGAGCCTGACCATCCCATTACGATCATCTTTTCTGTTTTGTTATTTTCTTCAGTTCATCGTCCCTCCGATTTAGCCCTAATTTGTTCGATTTCTAAGGTCAGTTCCATTTGCCCTAATTCAAGTGCCTAAACAAATGTTTCTTCTTCCAATAGTGAAATACTAGCATAACTAGTTTCAATTACTCATGGTCGTGGACGATTTGAGCGATATAGATGGTACATCAATGAATGTAGGAACTCAAGGAAATTTCGGAATCGATCCAAGCGATCCTTTGTATCTACACCCGTCGGATAATCCTGGTGCTATGCTTGTTTCAACTTTCAGTGGAGTTGGTTATCGATCATGGAGGCGCAGTGTATTATGAGGATTGTCGGTCAAAAATAAACTAGGGTTTATAAATGGTGAATGCAAGCGTCCAGATCCCCACTCGCCCACATTCTGTCAGTGGGAGCGATGTGATGATATGGTGACCTCCTGGGTCCTCAATTTCTCTCGAAGGACGTTGCGGATAGTGTTGAATACGCGAATGGTGCGGAGGAGTTATGGATTGAGTTAGAGGATCGATATGAGCAAACAAATGGAGCTAGATTGTATCAAATTTAGAAGGAAATAAATGACACATCTTAGGGGACCCTTGATATCATCAGCTACTACAATAAATTGAAAAAGCTTTGGGAGGAATTGAGCACTTTGAGTAAAAGGTCCTAGTGCAGCTGTAATTGCACTTTTGGTGCTAAGGAAAACTTCTACAAAGCTGAACAAGATAGGCCGCTATACAGTTCCTCATGGATTTGAATGAGACATATACTGTAATTCGAGGAAGCATTCTGATGATGAATCCATTGCCAACATTGGCTCAAGATTTTTCCTTGCTAATACAAGACGAGAAACAGAGAGAAATCAAACCAAACACTCAATTGTTCATTGAGTCCACATCATTGAATGCCACCAGCTCTAGGTCTAATACTTACAGGACCAATTACTCACCCAACAATGGCAAATACAGTGGCCATGGAAGGGGAGGGCCCGTGTGTGACTATTGCAAAAAGCCCGGTCACACTAAAGACAAGTGCTATAAATTACACATCTATCCTGACAGTTTTGGACATTCACGCACTCAAAATCACAATCCTAATCAAAGCTTCAATCAAAGTCAAGGTTTTAATCGAAATCAGAGTTTCAACAGAGGAAAAAGGGTGGTGGCCAATGTTCACCATGAAACACCTTGCAACAAGGCGGAAGAAGCCACTGATTTGAATGAAGACCAAAACATCAGCCTATCAAAAGAGCAATATGGACAAATCATGAGCCTGTTACAACACTTCCAAGCTGGGAATGGAGGAGAACATATGAATGCTTGCAATTCCACCAATGGAGCTGTGAACTTTGCAGGTATAGTAGTTTGCACCTCTTCTATTGATTTTGGTAAACTGTCCTGTAAGTATTTCAAAAACAAGACTGATTCTTGGATATTAGACTCAGGAGCTTCAAATCACATGACCTTTAATAAATCCCTTCTTACCAATATTGTGACATTACCTTAACCACTTCTAGTTGTCCTCCTAAATGGCTATAAAGTAAAAGTAACAGAAATTGGCAGTGCAACACTTGTGCCTGATATCACCTTACATAAAGTAATATTTATACCCTCCTTTAAATACAATCTGATTTCCATTCTAGCCAGTTCTAACCCCAAAAGTATAATAGCTTTCACTGATCACCTTTGCATTCTGCAGGCTCCTTCAATGAAGAGGCCTCTGGAGATTGGTAAGACCTGTGATAGTCTGTACTTTCTTTGTCCAATGTGTCTGAGGAACAGGTATACAGGTTCTGTAGTCAGCAATTCAGTTTCTTGCCTTAATGATAGGATTCACTGCACACATAATTCACCCTGTCATGGTCATTCATCTGTACATAGTTCAATCTCCACAAATAAGTGTGTATCTTTCTCCCCTTGTAAATAGTTCAAGTCCAAGTAATAAAAATCAGTGTTCTGATCTGAATTCTTGTGCACCCACTGGTTATGATATGAACATTTTGTGGCACAATAGACTAGGGCATGTACCCTTTGTTAAAACGAGAGGGATCTCCTTTATCCCTGTTTCCTTCCCATATAAACAACCTTTCATGTGTTCTATTTGTCCAATGGCTAGACAAGGGAGACTGCCAATCCCCCAGAAGACCAACTTCACAACTAAAATCTTTCAATTACTCCACATAGACATATGGGGACCTTATCATGTAACAACACATGATAATTACAAATATTTCCTTACAATGGTAGATGACTACAGTAGGTGCACCTGGACCAACCTTCTAACCTGCAAAAGCACCCTACAAGTTATAAGAACATTTGTTTCCATGGTTGAGACTCAATTTAACACCAAAATCAAAACTATCAGATCTGACAATGGTTCAAAATTTACTAGTACAGAAGCAAACCTATTCTTCCAATCCAAAGGCATCATCCATCAAAGGAGCAGCCCCTACACACCACAACAGAATGGCATAGTAGAAAGAAAACATAAATACCTCCTACAAATTGCTAAAGCCCTTTTATTCTAATCAAAATTGCCGGTGAAGTATTGGGATGAATGTATTCTGTGTGCAACCTACATTATACATAGACTACCTTCTTCTCATAGTCACCCTAAATCCCTATTTGAACTACTTTACAAAAGAAAACCAACATACTCTGATATGAAAAATTTTGGATGCCTGTGTTATCCCTCTGTGCCAAAGGTGCATAGGGACAAATTTGAACCCACAACATCACCACACATATCCATTGGTTATCCTTATAGGATCAAGGGGTACAAGGTCCTAAGTCTTGCCACCAAAAAGATACATATCTCCAAGGATGTTGTCTTTATTGAAAGTGTATTTCCATTTACTCTATCATCTGAAACCACACCTTTCCCCTCTGTCTTTAATCCTTCCCCTTTCATTGATTGTACTCCTAAGAATGATAAACATCTCTATGATAGTGATGATGGCACAAGTATTGCACACAATCAGCCTTTAGAACATGATCTTCCTTTTAACACCCGTGAGACCCTCCATATCAACTGAACCTTCCACCTCCTCACCACAATCTGACACACCACAGCCTTCAAACCACAGCACATCACCTGTTGGGGATCAACCTGGCCCCATATCCATTACCTTAAGGAAGTCACAAAGACCTCTCAAAACACCACTGTACTTACAAGATAATCTATACTCACTTCCAAAATTGAAATCATCATCCCCTGTTGATCACTGTAATTCAACTACACCATTCTCTCTTAATTTTGCATTTTCTAAAAGTCATCATGTTTCCCCTGATACTCTGAATCCTGAAAGCCAAAGTCTTGTAAGGGACATTTGCAGTGACAGTGAGCCTTCATCATATGAGGAGGCAGCTATGAATCCTGCCTGGCAAATAGCTATGAACCAAGAGTTTGAAGCATTATATGCCAACTATACTTGGGACCTAGTTCCCCTGCCTGTTGGGAAGAAAACTATAGGATGTAAATGAGTGTATAAGATAAAACACAAAGCAGATAGGATGTAGAAAGACTCAAAGCTAGGCTGGTTGTGAAAGAATATACCCAACAAGCAAGCATTGACTATACAGAGACATTCTCCCATGTAGTCAAGATGACAATTGTAAGGTCTCTGATAGCTGTTGCTATGAAGAAAGGGTGGAACATGTCCCAATTGAATGTGAATAATGCCTTCCTGCATGGAGACCTAAATGAAGAAGCCTTCATGGAGGTTCCTCATGGCTTGGCTGTAGATAATTCAAAGTTGGTTTGCAAGCTCAATAAGTCACTTTATGGGCTGAAACAAGCCAGTAGGCAATTGTATGCTAAGCTCACTGAAGCCTTATGCTCAAGTGGTTATGCACACTCTATGTATGATTACTCTTTGTTTTACAAGAAAACTGACAACTCAACTGTCTATATAGAAGTATATGTAGATGACATTGTGGTGATAGGAACTGATATAGAGATTGAAGACTTGAAAGCTTTTCTGAATGACAGCTTCAAAATAAAATCTGGGCAGACTACACTATTTTCTGGGACTAGAAGTTCTTTACAAAGCTAATGGTGTGATAATATCTCAGAGGAAGTTCACTCTTGACTTTCTCAAAGAATATCAGTGCATGGATTACAACAACTTTACTTCACCACTGGATCCAACAGTCAAACTCAGAGCAAAAGAAGGAGAGGTTCTGACTGATCCTACCTACTATAGAAAACTAGTAGGGAAGCTCAACTTCCTCACAAATACTAGATTGGATATAGCCCACAGTGTACAAAATCTGAGCCATTTCATGGATGATCCCAGGAAGCCTCACTTGAAAGCAGCCTTTCATCTACTTAGATATTTGAAGGGGGATCCAACTCTAGAGATATTCATGTCCAAAGATGCAGATTATACTAACAAGGCCTACTGTGACTCTGACTGGGAAACATGCCCATATTCCCGGAAATCTGTGAGTGGATACCTTGTACTTTTGGGGAGCAGTCCTGTTAGCTGGAAATCAAAGAAGCAAGACACCATTTCATTATCCTCTGCAGAAGCTGAGTATAGAGCTATAAGAAAGGTAGTGGGGGAATTGGTGTGGCTTAGTAGGCTGTTTGAGGAGCTTACAGTTCCTTTCCCTAAGCCCATTACAGTGCTCTGTGATAGCCAGTCTGCCATGCACATAGCAAGGAACCTAGTGTTCCATAAAAGAACCAAACACATATAGGTGAATTGTCACTTTGTCAGAAGCAAGCTACAAGAAGGGCCGATTTCATTATAGCATGTAGGAACTACAGACCAGCTTGCAGATGTTCTAACTAAAGCATTAACAGGAGTCAAACATTCAGCAGTTTTGTACAAGTTGACGGTGTTTACTAAACCACCAACTTGAGGGGGGATGTTGAGATGACTAATTATGTAAAAGTGACTATGTACTTGTAAAGTGGCTAGTTAGTTTATTTGTTAGGAGGCTATTTTTGTTATTCATTTTAGTTAGGGAATTTTGTATATATTGATGTTACAGATGTAAGTAAAGTCAGTTGGCCCATTCCAGATTTTTCCTTCTTCTCTCTCTTCGTCATGCAAACTCTGTCTCCCTCTTATCTCCATTGTTGCTCACCTCGAGCTTGAGAAGGTGAGGACGTATGTTTTACAGAGGTATTATAAAATTTTTAGCTCTTCTCTTAACAAAATTTATAAAAAAGTTATTTGATTGATACATTTTTAACGACGCGAAGCGCGGATATGTTAACTAGTTCTATTGATAAGGCCGGTATGAGTGGATACGTGCTTACCCTTGAGACTCTTTGTCTTTACAACAGTTCCGTGAGGCCTCTACGACCTAGATGGGAAAAAAGGTTCGCATTGATGATCAAATCATGAAGAATTCCTTGTCTATTTTCTGATAATTAATTTTCGAGAGGATATTGAAGAAAAAAAATCTATTTTATTTTCATAAAAACACTAATAGTTCTGTAATGTGTATAATGTAGTTCTGAAAATGAGAGAAAATATTTTGTCCAATATCTTTTTGTGAATTGATTATCAAAAAAATCCACAAGCAAGTGATCATGCTTTTATTCTTAGTGTGAGTTTTTCTCTTTTTAAGTCGTAGGGGCCTTGCAGAACTGCTGGAAAGACAAGATGCTTCAACGGTTGGCACACATATATCCATACCTCTATTAATAGAATCTTTGCCCAAATTTTGTCCCATTTTACTTCTTTTTTTTCACCACGAAAAAGATAAATAAATATTTTCGTTTTGTAACAAATGCAAAGCTCAATAAGCTCAACTCTGGAAGAACAGAGTATTGGAAGGGAAAGAGAAGAAAATAAAGTGCAAGAGAGAGAGAAGCAGAGAAAAGAGGAAAAGAGGGAATATTCATTTAGCATAATCTCCCCAGACTGTTACAGCTCGTACAAATACATCTAAGAATGCAAATACTGCTACACGTGTCCTAGACTAAAGAGAACATACAGAAACTTAGATGGACCTAATTGAAATAAAATAAATATCCACTTAAACCATAAACTGGACAAAAGTGTACAACCTCTAATCTCTAATTAACAACTCAATAACTAACATTTCTAATATCATCTTCATTCGTTACATGACATCCTCCCTTGAGAACCTTGCCCTCAAGGTTCAAATTGGGGAAACTGGGATTTGATGAAGTTGTAGTCCTCCCATGTTGCTTCCTCAGGCAACAGATTTGCCCATTGCACAAGAACCTGAGTGGCAGCTGCGTTTCCTTTCTTCACCATACGCATGTCCAGAATTGCAATTGGTTCCACTAGAGGTTGACCATCATGAGAACATATAGGAGGCTCAATGGAAGGAATCTGACCATGCCCCACCCTTTTCTTCAACTGAGAAATGTGAAAAACTGAGTGTATCTTGGATGAAGGGGTAATTGTAACTCATAAGCTACTGGACTGATCTTCTTAATGATTTGATAAGGACCATAAAATTTGGCTGCTAGCTTCAGACTCTTCCTTACAACAATTGAGGTTTGCCTATAAGGTTGTAATTTGATGAACACCCAATCTCCAACCATAAACTCCCTTTCTGTTCTGTTCCTGCATAAAACTTCATTCTGCTTTGAGTTCTTTCTAGGTTCTCTTTCAGTAACCTTGCCATCAATTGTCTTTCTTTAATTATTTGATCTACAACAGCTACTTTGGATTGTGAAATCAATTCAAAAGACAACTGAGGAGGATCATATCCATATACAACTTTGAAAGGGGTCATTTGAGTAGCTGAGTGGTAATTAGAATTATACCAAAACTCAGCTAAAGGTATCCATTTGCTCCACTCCACTAGTTTATGGCTGGTCATACACCTCAAATAATTCTCCAAGCACCTGTTTACTCTCTCAGTCTGCCCATCTGTTTGTGGGTGATAGGCTGAGCTGTAAACTAACTTAGTTTGCAACAAATTGAAGAGCTCCTTCCAGAAGATACTAAGAAAGACCTTGTCTCTATCAGAAACTATGCTACTAGGTAAGCCATGCAACTTATAGATCTGGTCCAGAAATAATAAAGCTACCTATACTGCAGTAAAAGGATGAGTTAAAGTTAAGAAATGGGCATATTTGCTATACCTATCAACCACAACCATAATTGTATCTTTCCCTCTTGACTTGGGCAAACCTTCAATGAATTCCATCGATATGTGTTCCCAAGGTCGCGAGGGTATAGGTAGAGGTTGCAATAGACCCGGATATGCCACCTGTTCATTCTTACACCTTTGACATATTTTACAGTTCTTGACCACCTTTTTAACATCTTCCAGTATTGAGGGCCAATAGAACACAGATTTAACTCTATGGAGGGTAGCAGTGATGCCAGAGTGACCTCCCAAATTGGAAGAATGCACATGTTATACCAATTGCTGTCTCAAATTTCCTTGCTTACCGATCCAGACCTTCCCTTTGAATCTAAGGATGCCTTGCTGCAGTGTTACTTCAGTTGAAGCTGCAGGATCAACTGTAAGAGCACAGACTATCTTCGTTACTTCCTCATCCCCTTCATAACTATTCCTGATCTCCTCCATCCATTTTGGTTGCAATTGTATTAACATTTGACAAGCAG